TGTGGCCTCCCAGGGATCAGTATCCCCTTCCCCATGATGCACGGCTTCTCCCCTGCCACCGTCTCTCTGCCTTCCTATTCTGTGACCGTTGAGCCTCAGGGCAGAGGAGCCGGAGGAACGACAGCCATGGCCGGGGAGATAATGGATAGTATGGCCAGGCACCGTCTGGGCAACCCGTACCGATAAAGGCAGATCCGTGTGGGCGTGGGAGGGATGTTTGTCCATTTGTCAGTGCTGTGGCGTCAAGTCTGTGGCACCTAAGGATGCACAGATCAGCAAAACCGGAGCATGCCAGCGTTCTCGGAAGGCCCCCCACAGCACGCTGTGTCGGAGGTTTTCTCTGATGGTGAGCTTTGTTTTTTAAGCCAAGCATATTTTTGCAACGGTGTGCACCGACTGCACGCCTCTTAGACTCTACACACCCTGCATGCCCTTGCTGTGCGTTTGCTGAGTGCGTGCTGGCTCTCGCTTGCACTTGTGCTGGTTTGGGAACCCTGCTGCAAGCTTGGAAATTCACCGATTTTAACTCAGATGAGGCTTGACTCTGCATTCTGCCAGGAAGGTGTGATCTGGGTAAATCCTGATCAACACCAAACAACTTCCTCATACTTCCTTAGTGGAACGTCAGCATCTGAAACTTGACGGGGTAAGATGGCACAGGAGTGTCCAGCATTTACAATCCTGTTCAGACCCCTCTCCAGCCTCCGAGAGCTTCGTCTGCACTGCCCAGGCATTCTCAAGCATACTTTCAACCCATGAGGACTAGAATTGTTATGAGTTCTTGTTACTGAACAGAGATTTTCAGAAAGGTGAGTTCTGTTTCCAGAAGTGCATTCGCTGTGTCTTTATGGAATGCCACACTGCATTTTGTGCATTTATATGGCTTGTTCAGGGAAGAGGCAACTTGACCGAGCAATTTAGAAGCTCTTTCTCTCATCAATTAATACCCAAACACTATCCGGCTGTTTGTATAATCCAGTACACATTAAACATGACTGATTCTGGTATTCCCATGCATCTAGCTGGACTTGCCTCATTTTGACCCAGTGTCCTCTTGATGGAAAACTTTTGGCATCCACAGATGGAACTATTCCCTCCCTGGTGAAGAAACCCAAGTCATATGCTCCAACATGGCCAGACAGAATCCAAAAGAAGCAATTTTGTAAGTTCTTCCTGAGCATCCCTACCAAGATTTAAACAGTGTGGTTAAAAAGACTGTCCTTCATTGAATTTGTAAGAAAAAGCAAACAGTCTCCAAAAAGTTGAGGGACTGAAGGACAATCCACCTCTCTCAGGATTTTGTAGAGGGCACTCCAACTAGGGAGTGGTGAATCCCGTTTGGGCCTGGGGATCCAGCGGATTCCCAGTGCTCGGCTCCCCAGGCAGTGGTTTGCTTTGTCTTGGCCTTAAGCCCGGGTTCCTGCGAAGTGCACCCGGAATTTGTGGAGCGCTTGCCAGGAACGGAGCCCCTGGGACTCCTGCTCAAGCGGATCCGGGATCCCTCATCCCGCGGTCTTGACCACTCTCCCCCAAATCCTGGATGACTCGAAAAGCCAGTCATGGAAGAGGCAGCTGAAGAGCGGGAATCCCAAGCGGGGGGCCATGTGGGCCCACAGCCACAGCAGAGGAGGCGTCCCCAGAAAGGGGAGCGGTCCCTTTCACACGGACAGGCTGGGAAGACGACGTCGCACGGGGCAGGCCAGGGACGCTGGGCCTCTCCAGCCCGATGGCCACATTTAATTGCGACGGAGCCCCGGGCGCAGGGAAGCAGGCGGGTTTCAACCTGCCAGTGTCGCCAGACTGCTCTGGGCTCGAGCCCCTGTGGCAAGGAAGCACCTTGTCTTTTAGAGCCAGGGGGAAACTGCACCAAAATGGGGGAACCAGGAGAAAAGGGGCGAGGCCTGGGGCAGGCCGACGACGGCAGGTATGAGCTGCACAGGCGGTTGGGAATGCCAAGGGCTGAGCCAAGGATCTTGCAGCCTAAGGATGGGGCGACCTGGGAGGTGGCACAGCCACCAGATGCTCCCGGACTGGAACACATGCCAGCAAACTTCTGCCCTTGGCCTGCACCACTGGGGATGATGGGAGTTGCACTCCAACACTTCTAGAGGGCATGAGTTGGCACACGCTGCTGCATTTCAAGTGCCTGTTCAACCAGCAGTTCCCACTGCTCGGGCCTTGGCTGCGGGTCGCCATTTTCATCACCCTTTGGAGACTTTTGGACCTGGGCTTGGTGTCCTGCTGGCCAAGCCCCAATCATGCCAGGCTGAACCCCCGGTGCCAAGAGCACCCACCCACTGACCTGCAAGCCCTGCCAGGTGCAGACCTCCGAGAGCTCCACTGCCAAGAAGCATCCCTGTTCTGTTCAGGGAATGAATGTGGTGTAAAATTACAAGCCGGAAGCCTCACCTGCCGCCCGCCCTGCCCCTATCAGGCCATCATACGGAGGTTATCGGCTCCATGCTGAGACACCTGCCTTCCCCACTCACTCGAATGCAACAGGAGAAGGGGAGAAGTCGCTCAGGGCCCGGAGATTGGTCCTTACATATGTGCCTCCGTGGGACAACTCCTCTGCTGAAAACACAGCAGCCCTGAGCACATTCTGAAACAGCTTTCGTTCTACTGCCTTTTTGTTATTCTGTTTCTGTAGGAGGGTTGCCCTTCTTTTCGTGGGCCATTTCTCTTCCCATGTGCAGCAGAGAGACTTCTTTTTGAAGATGCCCTCTATTTAAGCGGGTGTCTAGACCAAGTCTGGTTTTAAGAGAAGAATGGGCCAGGACTTGGAGTCGCCCATCAAGAGGTAGCAAGCTGCCCGTCAAGTTAGTTGCCAATCAGGAGTTAGCAAGAGTTGGCAGCTTCTCCCGTCCCAGCTGGGCAGCAGATGACAAAAAACAGAATCAAGCACCAAATGCTGGCACTGAACAGAGGGACATGCAGAGTTAACAGCCCGCGGCGGTGAAATGCTGAACCACCCACCCCCAAAGCCAAAAAGAAAGACCCTTCTTCATGATACACAAAGAGGAAGAAATCTTAATTGCCACAGTGGAAAATAAGCTGTATCATTATTCACAGAAAATTATCTGTTTAGTTCTAGAAGCACCATGCTTGGAGGATCATGATGAGCATTACCCAGCACCCTTCGTTCGCATTTGGAAATAACTTGAACATCAACTTCTATTTGGGTGAACACTCAGGCCCAAGCTTCTGTGCGTTTGCTCTCCCCCCCCCCCCCCCGTTCTCTTCCCTCCCAATTTAGGGGGGGCTTAGGGCTCAGGTTTTCCTACAGGATGGCAATCGCCTACTGGATTATAACAAGCAGCACGCAAGGAATCTTTCTGGATCCACTGGCATGTTGGAGAGATGTGCAGCCTGTGGCCTTGTGCTGCAGTTTGGCATGCTGTTTATTTCAAGCCTGCCCAGCTTAGGGCAACAACAAGGGGAATACCCCAGAGCGGGAGGGCCGCTTCTGCCCCGTGCAGGCTAATCTTCAAAGGAGCAAATGCACCTTATGTGGTGGAAGGCACCTGAAGAATGCACTCTAGAGGTGGGGTGTGTGCCTTCCCCAGCTGGTGCCCACCAGGTGCTCAGACTTCAGTGCCGATCAGCCCCAGCCACCTTGGCCAATGGCCAGGGGTTCTGGAAGCTGTCGTCCAACATGCCTGGAGAGCACGAGGTGCAGAAGGGCAACTCTTCACGCCAAGAGGCGCTGCTGGCCGCGGGATGAAGAGTGAGGGCAAGGCATCTTGGTCTTCCATCCCATGTGAATGCCAGAGGAGGGAATGAGAGAAATACCCTGGTGTCCCAGAAGGTGCTGGCAGCTTCTTCACAGCTCTCTGCACCGCCCCACCCTCCAAACTCCCGTACTGACCTCCAAGGATCACTTTCCCAGCACCGATTCCCTCGGGCTCTGTTCACACGCCTCCACGTTCAGCACTTCATGACACGAGGAGGCATCTGTGTGCCCGCAAGCCATGCCAGACTGTGCCCCATGGTCCCTTGGGGGTCACCTCCCACACAAAGGCGCTCGTGGCAGTTCACACATTCAGCCACATCACCGTGGCGTGAGAATCAAGTGCTTCGCAGGCAGGCGTGAAACAGCCCTGAGTCATGCGTGGATACCAGCACCAGCACATGGCTTAAAATCTCACCAGAAGATGCGGGAAGAGCTGCCGATCCTGCAGCCTAGCAACAAACACTGAACTGTAGTAGCCCAGTTCTCAAATTGTTGGCCAAGGGAAGGATAGTAGGTGCTATTTCCAGGAACGAGATTTAACTAAACAACTGCCAGTAATTACAATTAAGGAAACCAGCTGAGCCATCAGAAGGGGAAATGATCACTCGGCTCACTGCAGTCAGAAACTCAGAAAAGAACAGCGCAATCCTATGCAGGTCTACTCAGAAGTAACTCACATCTGAATTAAACTGGGCTGAAGTCTACCAGAGTGAGAACATTGCATTACAGGCAAGGGAATTCTTACAAAATCCATGTGGCTCAGTTGCCGTATGAATATGGGAAATAAAATAAAAATAATATAAACAAAAATGGGTCAGGGTAAGCAAGCTCTTTGTGGCGAGTGCCCCGTGCCACAACCCAGAACTCGTCTCATGCGTGGAGACAGAAACCAGGGAAGGTGCAGAGTTCCTTCTGCTGCAGGGAAAAGCCACTGGGTGTCCTTTGGATGCTTTGGACTACAACTCCTGCAAGGCCTGGAGTTGGGCTGTATCTTCAGCTGATGGGGGCTGTAGTTTAACAGGGCCTCTGTGGTGGTGTCCCCTAATTCTGGAATGCAGCAGCACTCAAAAGCTCACTTCAGGTGCAACAAGGAGATACGTAGCTGGGGAGTGAGAATGAGCAAAAGTGCCCACGTGGATGAGGGTAATGATGTGTTTGCAAATGCATTCATGTACGTGGCACGACCCGGTCTGCAGTCAAGCATGAAAGACCCCCGACACTTATGACATCTCATATCAGCTCAAGTTGGAGGGCTGCTCCATCTTACCCTTCTCTCCTTGTCACCGTACTCTATGCCCAGGGTGTCCATCGCACGGACAATGGCGGCCAGCGACTGGATGGTGTTGCTATAGACCACAGGCTTGTACTGTTTCACATCTTCTCCGGAGAAGCCATCTTCGTGGATGATCCTTGGATGGGGAGGAAGCACAAAGAAAGAGCATTTGTTATCAACGAGGCTGTCTCCAAATTGCCCCTTACGCCTCCAAGCCTTTTGGAGCAGCGGGCAAACGTGGAAGTCTGGGAATGTCCTGGACACTCTTTCTCCCGGTTAGTGTGTCCTTTCATAGCAAGCGCAGCTGGGAGCACGGGGTCTGGAACTCAGGAGATCTGAGTTCCAGTCCCTGCTCAGCCATGGAGCCCACTGGGTCAGTCACAGACTCTCAGCCAAGGCTACCTCGCAGGGTGGCTGTTGCAGGGATAAGATGGAGAGCAGCAGGAAGACAATGATGCAAGCTGCTTTGAGTTCTTAAAAAAAAAAAAAAGAAAACTCGGGATATAGATCAAATAAATAAGCAAAATAAAAGAGTAGTTACTGTTCCAACTGAATTTTAGAAAAGAATCTGAGCTCAAAACCATACCACTGCTGTTTGAACGGTGGGGCTTGTGGGTGGCACTCCCAAGTTTTTAAAAACCCAGGAAATCTTAAGAAATACAATTTTAAAATTCAAGGGGAAGGAGTGGGGGTGATTGCAACCCTGACATCCCATCAGGACACCTCAGTGTTCTAGTCGTCGTACGAAATCTGTAAAAGCCAGGTTCTGCTGGAAGTGCGGGCAGCCAGAGACGGGCTGAGAAAACGGGAAGGGGCTGCTGCCTGCTTCCCTCCCCAGGTTGTTTATCTGGCTCACCTCTCCTTACCTGCTAATTGCCACTGCTCCTCCCCCTCACAACCCTTAGGGGAAATTAGGGGCTAAAGCAGAGAGATAATAATCACAGATAAACAATCAGAGCAGCCTCCCTGGGGGCCTTTCAGAATTCACAAGAGTCAAAGAGGAGAACAAGGGGACCCCAAAGCAGCCAAATAACACAGGCCACCTTCCCCAAGCGGTGCCTTTGCAGTGGAGTTCCCATCAGCCCCAGCAGGCATGGCCAATGGTCAGGAACCCTCGGACTTCTCCTGGATGCTGGGAGGGCACCCACTGGGAAAACACGGGTGCCGGCCTGCGGGCGGATCCACGACAAGGTGTATTCTATCACGCCACCAGTGCACACGCCACTTTCCCTGAGCAGAGCAGAGGAACTTACAATCTCAAATGCGACCGGAAAATGGCGCAAAGGAAGGAGAGGGCGGTGGGGCGGAGGATGTGAACAGGGGACCAAAGAGAGGTCGCCCAGGGATGCGTGCTGAGCTCAGCGACAGGCTGAGGTCCTGGGCTTGAGCCGTTAGAGGGCGGAATTGAAGGAAGCGGGAAGAGAGGGAGGAAGGACAGCAGAGGAAATCCTGCAGCATTCTGAGTGAAAGGCGGTGGGGCTGGGGGAGACAGAGGAATAGGCGACCCAGCGTAACCAGATTCACACATGCATGATATCCCTCTAAGTCCCTCAAAGGCTGTCACAAAGAGGAGGGTCCAGATCTCTTCTTGCTGATGCCAGAGAGCAGGACATGGAATAATCAGTTCAGGTTGTGGCAACCCAGAGCCAGGCTGGACATCAGAAAAAGCTTCCTCTCTGTCAGAGCAACACGACAGAGGGACCAGCTGCCTGGAGGGGTGGGGGGCTCTCCCACCCTGGAGACATTCAAAAAGGAACTGGGCAGCCCTCTGAGTGGGAGGGTGTCATGTGGTATCCTGCACCAGCAGAGGGTTGGTGCCAATGGCCTTCCTGGCCCCTTCCAACTCGACTATTCTGTGTTTCTACAATGCGCTAATGTTGCACTGCAGAATTGCAATGTGTTCAGTGGCATGCAAGTACAGGGCTGCGGCCTGAAGGACAGGAATTTGAGTCTTCTGCATGCCTGGGAGAAAGGTGCAGGGGCTGCGACCCCGCCTGATGCCGCCTCTAATCACTACAGGGGGATGCTGTGCCCCCGAGTCGCACCCTCCGGTGGTGTGGCATGCCTGCTGCAACTAAGTCCTTGCAGGGATTACTGCGATATTTCCTGTCAAAATTAATGCAACTTAGTGGAGGATGATTCGGTCTGTGTGCAATGCTTGGGGCTGTTTTGATCTTGGATTCTGCTTCTGCATTCATCTAAGGGTTTAAAAATCTCAGCATCTGGTTCTGAAATACAGATTTTAACAGGCAAGTTATTTGTCCAGCTAGTTGCAGGGACCATGATTCCTCCTCTTGCCGTGTGCCATTTTTAATTCTGTTTGCAACCTCAGAGTGAATGCAGCCCGTCCTTAAGGGCTGTGGTGCATGGCTGTGAAGGCAGATCAGAGTGAGGGCAATGCATCTGGACCTCACTCTGGAACTGCAAGGCATAGGGAAGAAAAGGGGGAACTGGGAAAACAGGGCAGTGACGCCAGGAGGCGCTTGGGTCTTGCTCTCTCAGCAGTGTGCATTGCCAACGAGCCACCTCAGTCGGCCTTGCTCAGGTGAAGCTCGAGCAACATCAGCAGCGACCGGAGCGGGAGCTGCACGGTGATGGCTCATCGGCAATTGCCAGTTGTGGGAATAAGCAAACATGTGGCAGAGCGATCCGCGAGTCGCCACAAGCAGCAGGTGGTGCCTGGGCCCGCAGCACCTCTGGAGGGAATTAGGTACGCCAGATGCATCTATGGAGAAGGGTTGATGAGAGAGCAAAAGCCCGCAGGCTCCTGCTGCTCACCTGCGCGCAGGGGGGCCTGCCGGCTCGGCTTGCCTCTGGGCAAGAAGGGCGCCCTCCGTGGCTTGCCAGCAGTCACAGCTCTGCTCCTGCAGCACCGCCTCTCTTCCTCACCGCCTCTCCGTGGACCGGAAGGGAAGGAGCAAGCTGTCGGGGCGTCTGCAGCTCCTCCTTCAAGCAGCCTCCCTTTTCCTTCTCAGGGCAGAAGGCAGCTGAGCCAGCAGGCTGCAGGGACTTCTTGCAGGAGGCCCCGCCGGGGGTGCGCCTGGAGCAGGCCAGCCCTGGGCGCCAGCTGGCCCGCGTGCACAAGCTCAAGCGGACACATGTCCTATCCAGGCAGCCGAGGATCTCGGGTAATACTCCTCCTGTGTGGGCCCTTCCGGACGCCGCAGGTGCAGCGATTCCCTACTCAGACCGTCAGCCGTGGGCAGGGCATGGCCAGAGGGGGCTGGCGCAGTGACCTCAGGACAGATCTTGCTGGGCAACTGCCCCTACTCTGTGGATTCTGTGTGTCCGGGAGCATACCCCATAATCCCACAGTCTGCAACCTGCTTCACAAGGACCATGCTGGCTTGGGGCGGTGGGAACGTCAGTCCAACCAATATTTTTGTTACTTCTTAAGCCAGCAGAGATTTGGAAGAGAGAAGGCGTTTTTTCAGACCTCCTTCTGTCTAGTCTGAAGACACAGCAGGGACCAGAAGACGGGCTGAGATGAGGGAGGGGAAGCAGGGCAGTGCCAGCCACGGCTGGCCGAGACTGGCTGGGACAGGCCTCAGCGGCGCTCATTTGGTGGCAACTCAGGACACCAGAAGCTCTCTAGAACCGTCTGGAGGGACCCACAATACCCCACTGATTAGGGCCAGCAAGAGCGAGCGGGAGGCAGAAGGGGCCAAGTCACTGGACGCAGTGTTCCCGTTGAGAGCCAGGCTTTTGCCACACTGCCTCAGCTTACAAGGCAAGGTGAAGAAGGAGCGCCATGACAAAGGGGTGCAAGGCTATGCACGGAGGAATTCAAGGGGGTCTTCCTATGAAGAAGGATGGTGAGGGATTCAGGACCCATAAAGAGAAGCCCTTCGCAAGGCACGGCGATAAAGTATGGGATTCACCTCCCTAGGATGTCGCAATGGCCACCAACCCGGATGGCGTTAGAACGAGCAGAGACAGATTCTTGCAAAGAAGCCCTTCTCTGTTTGCTGGTCAGGAGAGCTCTAAGCCTGTGCCTGCCAGTTGCCGAGGAACATGGACAAGAGAGTCCGTGTCCTCTTTGTCAGCTTCCGCAGACACCTGCTTGGCTTTTGAGGGCTTTAGAGGGACTCTGCTTATGTTCCAAAGTGCAAGCACACCAAGTTTCAACGAAAGACCAGCCACGGGAATGCAACACTTAGGTTTTCATTGTGAAACGCACACTGCCTCGCGTGGAAGGGTGTCCACCCAACCCCTGCAGTAGGAACCCCATCAGAGAAAGATCAGTCCACATGCAAATACCCCAATAGCCCAGGTCCTAAACGTGTAGCAGCCCACGGTACACCCACACTGACTTGCAGTGTATTTCTGGGTGCAGTTCAAGATCCCCAGAAATCCCTGCTTTGGGCCCAGGAGCACCTCCTTCGAGGTTGCAGCCAGAGGCCCTGCCATGCAGCAGCTGGCTGGGGCACATGACGCAGCCCCTATTGGAACGGGGCGCCCAGGCTGTGGGGCACAGCCTGGTGCCGGCACAGCTAGCAACTTATTATTATTATTATTATTATTATTATTATTATTATTATTATTAACATTTCTATGCCGCCCCTTGCCGAAGCCTCGGGGCGGTTTACAACACAATAAAATACATTGAAATACAATAGAACATAATAAATTACCACTAAATACAAAAATACAAAAAATACACTGAGATACAAACATAATATAAAATTAAAATTAACAGTGTAAAATAAGTAAATAAAGAATATAGGAGGAGAAAAGAGAAGGAAGAAGAAGTTGCCCTGGCCAGATCATATATTTTAACAATTAAAATGATGTTTAAATAAAAAGGTCTTTACCTGGCGCCGAAAAACCAGTAATGACGGTGCCAGGAGGACCTCTTTGGGGAGTGAATTCCATAGGTTGGGCGCCACCGCAGAGAAAGCCCTCCTCCGAGTACTTACTCTCCTAATTTCTTTCATGGAGGGTTCCCGGAGAAGGGACTCTCCTGCAGATCTCAAGGGGCGGTCGGGCATATACGGACGTAAGCACTCGTTCAGGTAGCCAGGACCCAAGCCGTTTAGGGCTTTATAGGTCATAATCAACACCTTGAATTGGGCCCGGGCTTCAATGGTCAGCCAGTGAAGCTGACGGAGGACTGGAGTCCTGTGAGCATAACGC